TGTGTACAGTGCCCTGACACAACAGTTGTTTTAACTTGGCGCTATATAAATAAACTGAATTGAATTGAATCAGAGACAACTTTGGAGTCATTATTCAAACATATGGGAGAGAAATTTGCTGTCAACCAAGAGATTGACAAAGTACAATAAAGATTCTGTGGCAGAAGGGAGCCAGGACAACAAGTCATTATCTTCACTATCACAGAATGGGTACCAAATGCCCATGAGAAGCTGTAAGGAACTGAATACAAGATTAAATGACAAAGTATCCTCTGAAAGTCTGCTAAAAGATGCAATTGAAGCTCTGCTAACTACCCCTACTGACACCATCACAGCAGTGGTGGTCTTGAAGTTCAGACCTACAGCTAACAAGGAGCATTGTCCCCCAAGGAGGCGGATGTTGAAAACTAAAAGGGAATGTGGAAGACAATTCTAATAACCAATTCAAAACAATTGCACAGGTCAACATCAAGTGCTGCACATATCAAGATGATGTTCTGTCCCTTCTCCTTTTCTATACGGGCCTGAATTCTTTCAGCAGTGGTGGGCAGCGCTAATCCAAAAATTAGCTCCGCAATTTCTAAAACACTTACATAAATATGTAAGTCAGCAGCCTCAAAAGTGTACATGCCATAGAAAAACTAGTGGAAGCTAATTTTAAAGCACAAGTTCAATTTGGCAAGTAATAGCTGGCAATAATTCATGTACAATACATGCACAACACTGTCAACTAGCAGTGTATGAACTCTTTTAGAGCTTATTTCGAACACCCGACGATTGCTGGGGATGTGATTTCATGAGACAGACCTTTGGCTCCTGGTGTAAAAATTAAAAGGTTGTTGAGGATTGCTAGTTCGGCTGCTTCTTTTTCTTTTTTCTTTTGTTTGTTGTAGATTTTTCATTAAAGAAGCATCAAAGTAATTTTAAAACTGTTTATTGGAAAACTGAAGCGATGCATTCTGGGTACATGACAGATTTGATTTGTGACGGGAAATGAAAGCACAGAGTACAGGAAATTATCTTCACTTCAAAATAAGAGCCTGGATTTTAAAGTTTTCCCTGTAGTTGCTCCAGTTGACCACTAGATGTCAGTCTTTATCAGCATAACATCTTTAAATCATTTCTGTGTCTCTAACCCCGTTGCTTCGACCAATTACATCAAGTATTGAGCTCCAGCGTTTAAACTTTATTTTTTTAAAAGGAGCTCCGATTGTAAAGTAAAATAAATCAATACATACAATATTTTAGTATGGATTACAAACGTTAACTGTTTTTACTGGGACAGGGAGTTCTAAACATCGCCTTCCTGCTACATAAGCAGACACAAAGCATTGTGGGAAATCAGAAGCGTGACCCAAAGCAACAGTCAGCAGGATGTATACCTTCAYAATAAGAGTGTTTATCTGGGAGGGGTGCTGTTGGATAGATCACATGTGTTGTGATTCATTGACAGTCATACCTTCTGCTGTTCAACATAATGATGATGGTAGATAATTAGTCATTAGTGGTACTGCTTTTTAATTTTAGGAAGTGCAAATCTGCTTAGGAATTATAAAAATTAGTGAGACCGCTAAAACACAAATGATATATTTAGGTCCGCAATTAGCAGATTTGCACTTCAGTGGACTGGTGCCCACCACTGGCTTTCAGTAAGACTAGTGCAAAGAGTATAAGTCATCAGAGTGCTGGTCATCAAATACCCAGCTGTTATAATAACCTGGCCAAAAGACAAGATAGAAGCCACTGACATTAAGGCATGAAAGCTACACAAAGGACTTTAACCAACGTATAGCACCCTGAGACACTAACATATTGAAGAGGTGGATGTTTTAAACAAATCCTGCCAAAGACAAGTGAGAGCTGGACTGAAGGACAGCACAGAGGCACTAATCATGGCAGGACATGAAGAGGCCCTCAGCACAGTAGAGACTTAGATCTGCCATAACCGGCCAGGATCCAAGATGCAGGTTGTGCAAAGATGCCTCTGAGACAGTCCAACACATAATAACAGGATGTAATATGCAGGCAGGCATTGCATTGCATTTTTGGAGCATCATAATCAATGGCTGTAATGGTGTACAGGAATATCTGCAGTGTATGGACTATAGCAGTGGTTCCCAACATATTTTCCTCAAAGCCTTCCTTTCTTACTTTCAAGTCAACCTGAGGTTCCTCAGGTTAGAAACCACTGGACTAGAGGTCCCATAGTCAAACTGGGAGACTCCACCATCAGTGCTGGAGAATGGCAGGTCTAAAATACTGAGGGACTTTCAGCAAGAATGGGGTGTCTGCAGTCACTAAGTGTGAGTATTGTGTTTTGTGGAAGGTGTTTGTCCAGAACATGACTGGTCTGTTTGACTTTTGTGGGCGTAGTTAGTTGTATGATTATTTTGGGTGGAGTTTGAAGACATTGGGAGCAGCTTGGGGCTAGCTCGGTCAAAACAGCCAGGAAGCACCTATATTTTTAAATAATTATTACATTCACAACTCGAGACAAGAAGGTACTAGCCAAACGAAATTTGAATGCCACACATATGGAAGGATGTGTAACAACCAGACTAACACATTCTCTCTCCTGATTCATCAACATATTGACGCTTTTCCAAAGTTCCCTCTGTGTCTTATTTTGACTCGTCAGGTAACCCCCTCGCATCAGTCCTTGCCGCCTGCGGCTTCTCTGGGTAGCGCCACCAGGGGTCTTTGGGTCGGGGGTCTGAGGTTAACATGAGGGATCAGGATAAATGGTTAAGTTTAGGTACTGGGGTCAGGGATAGGATGTCTACGGTGAATATTATGTAATTTGAGGCTTTGGAACATGTAGTTAACGTGAATTTCCTACATTTTCTAAAAATGGTGAATTTTAGGTATCAGGGTTAATGGTTAATTTTTGTGAAGAAAGACCGTCCATCATTAAACAGAGGTGGAGGCCTCCGTTTTCAGTTGTCCCCCTCCTACAGCGCTGCCATTGGCAGTATCACTCCACCC